GTATTTTTCAAGTGACTATTTTTTGTAGTGTCAACAGTTAGTTGTGATTTTTAACTTTAGTAAATTTTTTTTATAGCAAAAAATACATTCATTTTTTTATTAGTGGTACACAGCGTTGCGAAAAATTTAGAAAGGGTGCACAAAAGTCATAAGTTTGGGAAACACTGACGTAAGGTAACCGAAGCATTATTATTATATGCAAAAACGAAGCATAATTGAATATAATAGGTACATCGATAACTTTAAACTTACTTTGTATTAAAAATTAACTTTACTTCAAACTAAATCTTTACTTTATTCAAAAAACTAAGCTCCAACTTATCTGGTTAAAGTTCTCTTAACATCGAGAAGTATATGGGTCCTTTTCGTGGTTTTAATCTCCGTGTCATGCAAAATGCGCTAGCTTTATAGAATAAAGTCTTCATGATAGCAAATCCGTCTCTTCTTTGTTACTTCATCTAGGAATTATTTTCTCTTTTGGAGGTTAAAAACGCAAACGTAAGTTAAAAATGCTAGCGTTATGAAATATCATTTTAACTTTGACAACAAAATCAAAACAAACATTTACAATGAACGTAGACTATATCTTTAAAGCTGTGGCATACAATTTACGATTCTTTTTTCTATGTAAAACTGTGGTTCTATGAGCAGAAAATTCTGCAGACTATAGATTTTGATGAATTCAGCAATAAAGAATGCAATTTATTATTATTATTATTATTATTGACATTTAAAGAAATAGCATTAAGTTTTTATTTATTATTTAACTTTCTTTAAGTAAATTGTGTAGCTAAAATAAATATAATTCATAATTTTAAAATGGCGGAAACTATATTTAGATTCTTATGAAACTAGTGCAATTAGACAACCATAATGTTAACGAAAATCAATAAAGTTATTTTTTTATTGAATGAACAAACGGTTGTAAGATCACGCTATTCATTTCGAAATTTCATCAATACATTTCTTCAAATTTGCATTCATAGCTCTATAATTTTTGTGAGCTCTATAATTTTGTGAGAAATATTTATTATTAAATATTTGATACATAGAAAATTATACGATTTTTATATTATATTATAAATATATATATATATANTATATATATTCATAACTCTAAATAGCAGTTTAAAAAAAGTGTCCCCCAAATAACCCAACTTTACGGTAACTGTTGACTATCAAGAAATTTTAAAAATAATATTGCAATCAAATTGAACTTTTTCATAATAGTTCAGTAATAGCTTTAATAATAAAATTATTTAACCTTAACCACTAAAAGCAGTTGAAAATTCCCCAGATCTTAAAAAAGATATTTTTAGACTGTGAAGGAAAATATATATCTTATTCAGTCCTTTCAGTAAATGATTGATTACTTCCTGTGTGCGATATCTTTTTTGGTGATTATTGTAACTCAACCATACAAAAGGGATCGGTCATTTATTTATTTACAGTAATCACAGAACGCCGTTGATGCTACCCCATTCACAGTCCAATGATTTCCACTTGTGGACTAAACAAGGAATTGAAGAACAATTTCAGAGAAGAAATTTTTTTTCATACCTCTAAACGTTCAAATTATTTAAAAAGAAAATTGAAGCGAATATAGAGATGATATTTATTTTTAAAACATTTAGGTTACCTTAACTATTCTAAGGTGTCAAAAGCAAGCAAATAGTAAGCTTTATTATCGTAATATATTCGAATATGACCATAAACTTTAAAAAAGGAAAAATGAAACTCAAGAACAGTTTTCCAAACGATCTAATACAAAAGCGAAATTGTTAAGAAGGATAGAAAAAATAGATTCACAATAAAAACTGAGGTCAAACTTACAATTGTTTCTGAGCAAACAGCATATATTAAACAAAAGGCATTGTTGCTCTTTAAACTTTGTGAAAGAATACATTAACTCAAAAGAACTGAAACACTTTAAAACAAAATAAAGAAAAAGGCGTATAGTTCAAAGCAAATAACAATTGACAATAATTCGAAACTCTAACAGTGAAAAAAAAAAGATCAATTTGAATAAATTCTATGTAAAACTGCATGCACACAATGAATCCGGTTTTTTTGGGAATTTCAATAAATAAAGATATTTTTCTCTAAAGCATTTAAAGTTGTAAAAAGGAATTTGTTGACTTGTCGGGGGATGGTTTCCGTGGTAATTAATGGAGAGGATCACGAGTGGACGTTAAAATATGAGAATTATACTCCTGGCAAGTATAATCTTTCAGCGATGCTTATTGTACTATAAATAATGTTTCGCCACTATAAATTAGTTTAGCTATTATAATTGTGCTAAGCATAGAGGCGACAAACAAATGCATATTCGATTCTACAAATTGTTTCGAAGCTCTGTCGCCAAACAAAATAAAAAAGTCACTGTTTAAGTGCCTCACACTTGAAGCAAAGCGTTGACTTTAAATTGAATATATCATCTTGCAGTGAAGAATTATGTAGGCTTCAGAGCGGGCAAATAAATTACATATTTTAAAAATTATTAAACTTACTTTAAAAATAGCTAATTCTGTGGCATTTTCCTACCTAAATAATTATCAAAATCAATGCTTTATTCTCACGCCTTATTTAGTTTTACAAGCCCAGGTAATGAAGCATTCGAATAAGTTTTTAAATATTAAAAAATTAGAAAACAAACGATTTTCATTTTCAGAAAACTGAGGCTTTTATTCATATTGACGTTTTGCGCCATTTTTAGAATAAAAATAGGCTTTAGATAGGCTAAACTTGATCTATCTTGAGATATGAGTGTCTCCAGCTAATATACAGCAGTTTTGAAAATAGCATATTATTCGCAAAAAAGTATATTTCATGTAATGAAGGATATAATTTAATATTATTTCCCGTCTCATATAATTTTCTGTCTCAATATTCTATCTTTTCACAACTAATATCAAACAGTAAAGGATAAAAGAATAATGTATATGTAAATTGTTATTATATCATATATAGTACATATTTACGAGTTATTTGATTTTTTTAGTATACGCTTTTGAAAGAAACGTTTCTTTCTTGCGATTTAGATATTTATACGCTTTTTTTATGCTCTTTTCAGTTTAAATTCGTTTTTGAACTAAGAATTACTGAATCATTTGCAATATTTTCATAATTTTTAGTCAGTAGCCTTGATTTTCAGGCTACTTACAAATTTACTTTTCATTTAGCTAGAAGACCTATAAAAAAGACAGATTCTAGCTATTGATGTAAGAAGTGAATGTTGATTTAGAGCAGTGTTAGAGCAGTGTCCCAAACTTATGACTTTAGTGCATCCATTCTAAATTTTTCGTAACGTCTACCACTAATAGAAAAATGAATGCATTTTTTACTATAAAAAAATTGCAGAAGTTAAAAATCACAACTGGCTGTTGACACCACTAATTATCAGCTGTTAACTTCGCAAAAAATAGCCAACAGAAAAATACGCAATCGTACATTTTCGTGGCTAGCTTTGTTTTTAAATAAACTTTTTTGAAATTTTCGTTTCTTGCAAGATATTTCGCATAAGAACGCGTACCCCCACTAAACTATTCCCGTACCCCTGGGGGTACGCGTACCACAGTTTGGGAAACACTGAATTAGAGGAAGAGTGATAAAATTGGGCCTGCTCTTTTGTTGGGCCGTCTCAATTATTTTGTAATTATTGACAGTAAGCGCACCGTGACAGTAAGCGAGGTGTTTGAAGAGAGAGATACCAGCTCAGACGCTATCCACGTCGTCGGACCTTTGTCTGACAGTTGTCAAACTTGCGTAGCATTCTTACCAAGGCCGCTAATAAATATAGCCCTGAAAAACGGGTCTAGGAACATAGCCTTGGTTGGGTGATATATGATATGAGTAGACTCGTGACCCAACCATAGAAATATTATTTAGGCTAACAATTTGCAAAATGTGCAAAATAATGCAATTTTATCTAATTATCTAAAATCATACTGGGAATAATAACGTCTAAATTAGATAATATTCTAATTTATTCAAGATTGATGTTTTGACAACTAAAATCTTGAGACATTATAAATCGCTCAAAAAATAGTTAATTATGCTTCTTTCACTCTAAATTATACAGATTTATATTTTCTGACTTATATTCTGGTTTATATTATTTATTGTTAACGAAAAAAAAATCATTAGTGAGTTAAAAAATGTTCATTTCCAAATTGTCATCTTTTAATAACTAAACATAGGTAGCCAAAGGTAACCAAAACCTGTTACCTCGACATTAAGAACGAAATTATGTTACTTTTAACGTGACATTATGCTGGATTAACATTTACTAAAATTGTCCCGTTTTCCCTGTTCATTATGATCTTACTCCAAAAGAAAGGAAAAAAAAATAAGATTATATTTTCCATAAAACAAGCTGCATAGAAATTTTTAATTTCTTTTCAGATTATCATTTAGCTTTTGCATTTTTAATTACGGAAAACTTTATGAAGCCTATGTGTAAAGTCTAGTGCTGATATAATACAATACACACATAAAGTATGCATTAATACATAAGAAAAATTAAACAAAATAATATCTTCTATTGCTAACTTCATTCTGTTTGCATCATTAATAGATTTAAATTTTTACGTTCATATTTTACATAAATAAAAAGGTTTAACACTTAATAAGTTATTGTTTGCTTTCACTTGCCGTGAAAGCTGGCACAAAAACCTCTACATAAATTGACACGAAAATAAAAGATGTATCATCATCTATTTTTTACGTAATACATTTTTAAAACTATTGATAAAGTGTCGTGATTGTTCTTTTAAACTTTAAATGATGAAAAAAAAGTGTCACGATTCCTTAAGCTAAGTTTCTCTTTCTATCTATTATTCACATTGACAAGTATTTTCATAGCTTTAATGTGTGAGGGAATGAACAATTTAAAAAGGTTTTATTTTGAATGTTAAGTATATTTCAAAATATAAACATTTGATTTACGCTTTTTATTGAAAGATAGCACAATGAAAATTTAAAAACTAAAAGCTGCTGTTTATTTTATTAACTAATCATAATCGTTAGACTACTGAAGAAAATAAAGCCAAATAGAGAATTTAAAGAAATGCATTCTCACTATTTATTCGGCCATCGAGGTCAAAATTATAATAATTAATAAATAGCAATTAAAATTGTCAGATGATTGGAAAAGACAGTTTTGCAAAAATATTATTAGGTGGAATATAAAAATAAACTTACCGTTACATTTGGCGGATTATTTATTCCATTTTTTGCAAAATAAGCTCTGACGGCTCCTGAAACTGCGGAAACAAAAACATCATTCAAACTGCACCGCATTACCTGCTTAATACGTAGCACTTTAGAAAATCGAATGTTATGAGACCATGCTACAACTCTGCTCTGTGGTTTATGATGACGATTAAAATAGTTGTAATCTCTCCTTTTGAAAATCAACCAACCTAGGAATGTTAGTGGAGCCACAAAAAATGCTCGGAATAAGTTCAAGAAAAAAGTGTTATAACCAAAACGGGATTTCAACCGGAGTAATTTTTGGTTGTCACAAAGGTGGTTTCCTAAAATTACTACTAAAGTGATCCCGTCACTGATGGCCTGATGAATCCTCAGAACCAGTACAGTATCTTTAGATTTTCCGTAATCTTTGATTACTCTAATTTCCCATAGAGGCCGAGACGAAGGCAGAGGCTGATTCATGAGGTTGCTAATATGTTCTTCCAGTTCATCAGAAGAATTAATTTCCTTCTTTTCTTCGAAGACATGATTTTCTATAGAGAAATCCTCATCATCGATCCAGCAATAGCCGCTACAAACCGGAACAACTTTCTGGAGAAACCTTGGGAAAGCTCTTCCACCGCGATCCGTAGTTTTGCTGAGGATTCGCGTCATCAGCAATTCTCTGAGTTTGGAGCAGGTGAATCCAGAGTCTAGAAAGAACAAGCAATGGGCTACGTGAAGATTGAAGCTCGAATCGTGAAGCCAAAGGGCTTCAGGTGGTCGGACAAAGTTTTCCGCTCTGAGGCAGGAAGGTTGTCTGCTCTGAAATTGCCTTTGATTCTCAACATCGCCAGCCCTGGAAGCTCCTCTGTAAGCACAACAGCGAGCAAATACAATTCTTAGTCCTAAAGCAATACCTAAGAACCATGTCAGCATGATGACTGTTGGAAAACCAGTGAGGACTGATATGGCGGCGAATATAACAGACAGGATGAAGCTCCATGCGATGTTCTTGTCTACTGGATGGGTTAGTAGCTTGATAGATGCGTTCCGGAGGTATCTTGGAGTTTTCCTTTTGTTCGATATAACGTTCGATTTCGAGGCTAATTGGCAGTTTAAGTTAGATTCAGAGTTTGTTGAAATTTGGCATTCTGATACATCTTGAGTAGAATCATTGTTCTTAGTTTCCATTATTTAAGATCAATATCTTCAAACGAACTTATCTAGAAAGTATAATAACAGCAGTATCCAATAGTTAACGTAAAGTAGATCCAGATTTAATGGAATAAATAAATACTATTTCTTTTGTTTAGTAACATATAAAAAGAAACTAAAATATTGAAAGAAATACTTAATCAATAAAGAAAATTATTTCTGTCATTAATCCCAGAGTAAATGAGAAAATATTTTCATAGCATTAGGATAAATCTCAATGGAAAATTGCTCTGAAGTATTCAATCATTTGTAACCAGACTTTGTTTAATTTAATGCCTCATAACTGTACTATAAAATTATTTTGCTTTTGATTCCGAATGTTTTGCTTCTCGTATTTAATGAACGTATTTACATTGGAAGCATATTTGTTCTTGGCCAGAAATATTTCGTAATATTCATGTGGAATATTTTTGTTTTAAACAATAAGTGACCTTTTTACTGCATTCAGATAACGATACAGATCAGCTCGGATGAGTTATTTTTAAACTTTTTACTTCATATGAGCCTTTCTTTAAGATGTTTTACTTTTAATAAATAGAACTTTTTCCTTTTTGTTGTGTATCTTAGTTTATAACTTTCATAGACAGCTTAAAGTATTAAAAGCACTTTGACTGCATGTTCAAACCACTATATTTCCAGCTTGAATTTTAATTTAACCTTTGACGGCTCAATAGCGATTGAGTGTCTGATCGACAGCATTATTCGAGATAATCCAATGCTTTAAGCCAACTCTTTTCTTTAAACGAATCGTTAAGGGAGTAAAAATAGTCGCAACGGATGCCGGCTTTTGTAGAATACATCTCAATTTTCAATATTTATATGGTACTTAAGAAACTAAATCTCTCAAATTGAAAACAGAAACATTTTTTTTTCTCTGATTGCGAGCCAATACGATGAGAGTATAATTTCTACGATCACACTCTGAAGGGCTCCCCATTCGATGATAAAAATTTGCTCGCCTCTATTCATGTTTGTTGTAAATCTTTGATGACTGGCATTAAAATGAAGTTGGTAACCATGGTGACAGCCTTATCCAGCATCCCTTTTTTTGCGTCATCCATCTGAAATAAAAAGGATGAAAAACTACTGAATCGTGAAGAGAGAAGGGATTATTATGAACATTACACAGAAAAAGAAAGAACATTCGTTTTTAAAGGACATATTGAGGTTAGGTTCTATTTTTTTATGTGGTGTCAACGAAAGAGTATGGCTAAAAATACAAAATTTAGTCATTTTGGGGGAGAAAAACCTTTAATATTTTTGTGCAGTTTCGAAACCAAGCTATAAAAACACTTAATGTTATAGTTCTTAATTAAAAACATGAATTTTCAACTTTTTAAACATAGGTAATACGGCATCGATAATTAGGCTTTTTCACAAACTTTTAAAAATAAGGCAATTTCATTACGTTTTAAGATATCTTACCTATGGAAACAGTATTTGGAAATTCATATAGGAAATATTGCTTTAGGTCTCTCTTGCAGAAAAAACACCGGGAATAAAACGTGGTTAAAAATATCAAAATATGGTAAAATTTACTGTTTCAGGCTCTATGGGAACATCAAAAAGTTCGGTAATTTTTCGATCAAAGCTCCTCAGCACTTAAGTAATGATTTTGATAAAATTAACAATAAAATATTTTTATAATATGCGATAAGATTTAGTAAATATTGTAAAATTTAGTACTTTTATCACGATACTTTATAGGGAAGCATAAAAACCAATAATTTGTTCAAATTTACTTTTCAATTTTGTATATTTTACTAAACATACGGAAATAAGAACTATTATTTTGAAATCCAGAATTTCTGATAAACCGTTATCATATAAACGGAGAAATCCCCATATGAATATTTTAATTTTTAATACCAGAATTATGTTCCTCTTTTTTTTTACCAAATTATCATTAACATATACAGTAAGGTGTCACATTTTACTTAACAAATTAAATTTTACTTTTGTTTCGTTATAGAAGAAAAATCGTCTGCAAGAACAATATTCATTATTCTTAGTCAGTTTCTTTAAATGCGAGCAGAAAGACGTTTATATATTACGATTTTTAGATACAATTTTTATTATTTCTTATTACTTTTAAATTGATCACAGTTGATAATAAGAAAGCAAGCAAAAACAGGCTGTGCAATTTTGTTTCAAGAGTTGGCGATGTTGATATGCGTTTAAGCTGAGAGTTAGGCATCTATTTAACGTGCATTTATATGCAAACAGGCTCTTTTCATATTAAAAATGGTTCTTCTTAACTTGCAACAGATATAGATAATTTAATTTCTCTGTTGGCAATTTGTAAAGTAAAAATAAGTGTATAATCGAAGTCATCAATTCTTTATATAATTATTAGATTCACAGTACCGCATATTATATTAATAAAATGCTTAGTTTTAAGATTTCATTTTTTTGCCCTTAAATGACGAAATTTTTTTTTTTATTATAAATAAAAAAAATTAGAGAGTGAAAAACGAGAGAGTAATTCGTCTATTTAAAACATCTGTCAAAATCGCAACTTACCGATTGAATAGCTACAATTTTTAATTTCAGATTTTGTCTTTAAGCTCACAAAAGTTACGCAATATAATATGTATAGTTTACTAATAAAATTTCCTGCCATTAAAAACTTATATACAAAGTTGAAAAAAAAATAATTTCGAAATTTTTCAAATAATTTTCTTTATTAATCCTCCAAAATTTCGTCTCGCAATGAGTTGTGAAGATCTAGAATTTTTTATTTTTTATTTTGAATAATGGATCCACGCTTTCTTGATTGCGGCACAATCTCGAGTTTTCCATATTTAGAAATTAAATATTCCGTCATCTCCGAAATGATACTTAATAAGATAATTAGATCAAAAGTTATGATTCTTAATTGTTATGGCAAGATATTTGCAGAGGACATTTTTTCCCTCTAGGGCTAATAATTATTTTGATTCGTTGAATTCGTGCTGTTAGTTCAAAAGTTATTAAAGCTATGCATTTTTTTACTGATCTGATAGTGCAATTATTTCTACAATTTGTAAATTTACTGGCTTCTATACTGAAAAAAATTTCGGATCAAATTACGGGAAAAAGCACCGGAGCAAAAAATGTGGTATATCGTAATTCTACAGTAATAATTACTGTAAATTCACTAAATCTCTCTAATTAAATAAGTATTAATGCAAAAATTACGAAGTAATATTTAATGTTAAAATGGATTTTACGGTAAATTGAATTTTACGGATGATGCACCCGAAGTGCAGGTGCATAATATTGTAATTTGATCTAGAATTTTTCACACTGCACGAACGGTTTTTTGACTAATCCGCATTGCAATCACACTTTTAATTTATTCTGAAAGTCATCAAAAATTTCATTTCCCGTTGTTTTAGCCCGGTTTTCTCTTCTATTTCCATTTTAATCATATATACTGATGTACATATTTTTTAACAGCAGTAAAACAAATTTGATGTATACAGTGTGCAAAAAAAAATGATCATCTTAAATAACTTTTGATCTAATGATCAGATCTTTGTGTTCTTGCACTCGATCTTAATGGTAAACTCAATCTTAATGATTTAGATTTCTGACACCTCCCCCCCCCAAAAAAAAAATACAGGGGGCATCCACAATCTGAGAAATATGGTCCCAATAGTTTGGTTAGGAGAGGGGTCGAAATTTTGTTAATTTTATTTTCTGCGCATTTCAGGACATCTCAAGAATGTTTTAAGCGAATTAAAAAATTTTGGAATAAAAATTATAAAAATCTTTTATCCAGAGATCATTTTATGCGAAATAAAACTTTTAGTAAATATTTATTATTTTATTTAGTAACAGTCGAAAAAGTTTTGGCAAAATATAACGTTTAAGCGGAAACTGTCGTTAATATATTCTGCCGTTCTTCTGCCGATAATTATATGCCCTTAATTATCTGTCGTTAAATTTTTAAATTTGAATTCTTGTGAAATTAAATTCAAAAATACGACTTTTTCAAACTTTGATTTCTCAGGAACTATTCAACGGATTTTGCTCAAATTTTGTATTTCGCCATTTAAAATTGCATTCCTTAAAATGATGTAAAAAATTTTATACCTTACAAATCAAAAACTTCTCAAATGCTATTAAATAAAATAATAAATATTTACTAAATTTATATTTTGCGTATCGAGTTTAACGAGTTTTATAATATACGTGCAAAAATGTTTTAATCCGCATGAAAAGTTCTCGAAACATCATGAAGTAAGCAAAAAGAAAAATTTATATCAAGGGGTACAAAATTTGAACTCCTCTCCTAACCAAACTATATGGACCATATTTACCAGATAGTGACTATCCCCTATGACATAGGGGGTCAGAAATTCGAATCCGTCGGAAAAAATAGTTATGTTAATTTAGAGAAAGTACATTTTCGTGTCTGATTTCGTAACTTAAAATATCCTCTGCAGTAATTAATTAGCCTTTCTGAGGTCACCCCTCGACCCCTTAAAGTTGAGTAAAAAATCGTGAAGATCCGATCATTAGATCAAAAGTTATTTAGGGTGGTCCTTTTTTTTATTTAGAGCACTTTGCATTAGGCTCTGACTCCTTTAAAGAAAATATTGAAATGCTTTTGATGATTTGTAGGAATGCGTGCTTAAGACAAGAAATGAAGCTTGTAAACTCAAAGGAATAAAGATTTCTCATCATGTTTACAATTCAGTGGAATTGGGTGGCGGAAGTCTTGGCAAAAGAAAGAAAAAAACCGTTTTGTTTATTTTCTGTAAAAAATAAGTTATTATGTGTTAGAAAATGGTAACAAAGTGGATGGAGTTCTCCTACGTGTCTCACATTTTCCCATTTTTCTTTACTAGTTGTTGGAAAAAGAAAAATATTATTTATTTTTGAAGGTTCTTAACGCATAAAAAAGCAAAACACGCTTTTTGAAAGAAGTATAAAGTAAGAAAAAAGCTATTTACTTATCCAATGTAAAGAGCTTCAATGCAGAATTTCAAACTCTACATGTTTCAAAATACCTTTATACATAAAATAAATATTTTTTATTTAATTTTTTAAGTTTAGGTTTGAATTGCGCAAGTATAATGACTAGTTCCCAAATTATTATTGTGTCAAATTACATAATTGATATAAATTATGTCAAAATACATTAAATAAGGATCTAAGATGCTTTTTCTCTGTTGATACTTCAAATTAGATATTATTTAACCTCCACGTCACTGTGCCAGTGTACACTATAAAAAAATCCGGTAAAAATGTACAGTTTCAAACTGGTAGCTCGGTTAGGTATGCAAAGGAGTAAAACTTACGAAGTAAACTGTATCCTGAACAACTTTNAAGTATAAAGTAAGAGAAAAGCTATTTACTTATCCAATGTAAAGAGCTTCAATGCAGAATTTCAAACTCTACATGTTTCAAAATACCTTTATACATAAAATAAATATTTTTTATTTAATTTTTAAGTTTAGGTTTAAATTGCGCAAGTATAATGACTAGTTCCCAAATTATTATTGTGTCAAATTACATAACTGATATAAATTATGTCAAAATACATTAAATAAGGATCTAAGATGCTTTTTCTCTATTGATACTTCAAATTAGATATTATTTAACCTCCACGTCACTGTGCCAGTGTACACTATAAAAAAATCCGGTAAAAATGTACAGTTTCAAACTGGTAGCTCGGTTAGGTATGCAAAGGAGTAAAATTTACGAAGTAAACTGTATCCTGAACAATTTTTCACCATACAAGTATAATGACTAGTTCTCAAATTATGCCAAATTGCATAATTGATATAAATTATGTCAAATTACATTAAATAAGGTTTTAAGATGTTTTTTCTCGGTTGATACTTCAAATTAGATATTATTTAACCTCCACGTCACTGTGCCAGTGTACACTATAAAAAAACCCAGTAAAAATGTACAGTTTCAAACTGGTAGCTCGGTTAGGTATGCAAAAGAGTAAAATTTACGAAGTAAACTGTATCCTGAACAATTTTTCACCATACAAGTATAATGACTAGTTCTCAAATTATGTCAAATTGCATAATTGATATAAATTATGTCAAATTGCATT